AGATGTCAGAAAAAATGCTCATTAAGATTCAAGGGATATTTAACATCATTTTGGCCTCGGCTAAACACCAGGAAGCAACTGAAGAAATAAAAAAAAAAGTTTAAAACAAGTAAATTTAAAATACTTTCCTATCTATTTACTAATGATAGTAGCATATATTAATAATTGCTAATGTTCATTGAGAGAGTTTAGTTCCACTTTAATACTATGTAAATATTTGAATGTTCATAGCCTGGCCATAGTTATGCTAGTCACAGACAGGTAAGTGCAGTCACACCACTATAATAGTTTGGATTAATTGCAGCATATAGTAGTGATATCACAAATTTGGAGCATTGTGCTATCATTAGTGTTGGATTATAATGTTCATATATTTTGTGGCAACAACTACACCATCAGTATTCAGTAGAAATATATTCCTTAACCAGTAGATGGCAGTGTTTATAAGTTTGTAGGTGCATCTATGGTTAAACTCTATGTATTTTCTCTATAGAAAAGGTTCCTGTTTCCTGAGAATCAGCAGATAAACACGTGGACTGTGCACTGTCTGTTCTGTAGGGTTATATACATAATTTCTAAAATCTTATGGGTTCAGACACCCAGTCCTAGTCAGCTACAGCAAGAGAAGTGCAAGATACAACAACAGAACGAAGACTGCAAAAGAATAAAAGAAAAATGGCCAGTAACAGAACTGCAACAAAGCTTTCAATTGCAAATCTGACAAACCAGAACTACCAGTCTTGAAAATTCAAGATGAAAATTCTGCTAATAAGAGAAGGTACGTATAAATGTATAAGTGAAGTCAGGCCAGAACTAATTTCAGATGAGTGGACAGAGGAACCTCAGAAAGCTCAGAGCACAATCTTTCTTAGCATAGAAGATGATCAAATCATAAATATATGTAAGTGTGAAACTGCTAAAGAAATGTGGAAAGGATTACACAAGGTGCATGAAAAAGCTAATGTCAGCAATAAACTGTATTTGATTAGAAAGCTATACCAAACCAAGCTAATGAAAGGCCAGAATATGCAGGATTACATAAGGTACACCTTGGAAATGGTTGGATGCCTGAGAGATATAGAAGAAATAAAAGATTTGCATGTTGCAGCACTATTACTTAATGGTTTACCAGAAAGTTATGAACTTGATGCATGCCCAGATGATGGATTGACATTGGAATACATCAGTGTTACTAAAGCCATGACCCTGCATTCACTACATCAGGTCTCTCACAGTACGCAGAACATGGACATGCAATTATTTTAGTAAATATAAACTGATAAATACCTTTTATTATCAGCCGTTAGAGCAGTCTTGTGACTTCTATTAGTGTCCAGCAGAGTACTGGTTAAAGCTTGCAGGAGGAGTTTTCAGTCTCCCCTGTTTGTCCTATGAGGCTTTAGGGCCCCTGACCCTCTGTCTGGACATTGTTGATTGACTCTGTGCTGATCACATGCACCCCCCCAAGGAAAAAAAAAATCTCTAGCAATACACACCAAACTGAGTATGTGCAGCTTGCCCCCAAGGCTCTGTTCTACCAGCAGATGGATTGAGGATTATGGAAGAAGGGGACAATCAGATTAGACATTACTAAAAACAGTAACATGCAACAAGAAACGTGAATGCTTTGTGTGCAAGAAACAAGGTCATTTATAAGCAGACTGCAGAATATGGAAAGCTAGAATGCAAAAACAAACTAAACTGCAAAAGGCCAAACGTGTGAAGAAAGAAACTAATTTTTCTTCAGATAATGAATATGTTTTTCAAACCAAACGTTGCACCTCATCTTTTCAGGCATGGTGTGTTGGTTCAGGAGCTACGAATCACGTCACAAATGACAGAAATTTTTGATTCACCTTGACCAGATTAAAACAGAAAAAATCACCACAGCTAATGGGCAAATAATGGAATTAGAAGTAATGGGAGAGTTTTCTTTACTGTCCTATTTCCCAGAGTGTCAGCAGAAAGATACCTGTGAAAAATGTTGTGTATGTCCCTGGACTTGAAACTAATCTCTGGTCAGTGAAGACGCTCATAAAATAAGGCAATGTAGTAACCTTCCAGGGTGACAGTTGTGCCATCACAAAAGGGGATATCTTACTTGCAAAGGTTAAAATTACAAATGAACTGTATCAACTAAACTGCAGTGAGGTGGTTAATACTGCCAAGGAGGAAAAACATTCAAACTGCATTCACACATGGCACAGACGACTTGGGTACAGAAGTCCTGACATAAAGAAATTAACTGAGAATGACTATGTAAGTGGAATAAAAATGAATCCACGTGATCAAACAATGAAATGTACCAGCTGTATAAAAAGAAAAACAGGCACACCTTTCCAAAGCAAAGTAACAGCAGAGCTAAAAAAAACTCCTCTGGACTTAATTAATTCAGATCTTTGCAGTCCAATGGAAAAACTGACTCCAGAACAGAAGAGGTATTTTCTTACTTTTACGGATGATTACTCCAGGTGTACTACACTATACCTATTACACAACAGAAGAGAAGCACCGGAGAAACATGAACAGTGTTTGGCTCAAGTAAGCAATACATTTGGCAAAATGTCGAATGTACTGCGCACAATCTAACTGAATATACAGGTGATAACACACAGGCGGTTCCCAGAAAGCATGGCATAATATTTGAGACTACTGTACCATACAACCTAGAGAAAAATGGGATTCCAGAAAGGATGAACCATACGCTATGTGAGAGTGGAAGAACCATGTTGTTTGATGCAGATATGCCAACTACATACTGGGGAGAGGCAATTATGACTGCACACTATCTCCAAAATTGACTACCAGGAAAATCAAGCAAGAAAACTCCATGTAAACTGTGGAATGGAAAAGCCCTGAATTTAAATAATCTAAAATCATTTGGAAGCAAAGTCTATGTGCATATCCCAAAAGAAAAATGTTCAAAATGGGATAGTTGCGCAAAGGAAGATGTACTTGTGGGGTACAGTGAATCTCAAAAGGGATACAACATTCTACACCAAGACACAAATAAGGTAAGCATCAGTAGAAGTGTAATTGTCAATGAAACTCCAGTGTGTTCAAAATTGCATGAACTAACACAAACACTTAAAACTGAGGGAAATTCCACATCAGTGTCACATGAAGATAAGCAACAAAGTGACACAGAAATAGAAATTAACACAGACAATATAAATATTGTAAAAGAAGAAACCAGGCCACAAGAAGCTTCAATCAGGAAATGCACCAGAAGCAATTATGGCACCCCAGCCAAACATCTGTCCTATGTTTCTTGTGTAGCATTAAAATGAAAGCCAGATTCATGGGATGAGATGCAAAGACATCCAACCTATTCGAAACAAAAGTGGGTCCAGAGCACTTGACAAAACTGCTGACAAGAAACTGATTTGTAGAACTGAGATCCAAAGTGGGATTAATATAAGGAGTAGTTGTTTGTTGTTGAGATGGAGTGTTGGAATACATTGTTAACGTATTTTTGTGCAACAACTGCACCAACAGTATTCAGTATAGAAATATACTCCAACCAGTATATGGCAGTTTGTGGCTGCATCTATGGTTAAACTTTGTGTTTTTTCTCTATAACAAAGTTCCTGTTTCTTCATTGCAGAGAAGCAGCAGACAAACACTTGTGGACTGTGCACTGTCTGTTTTGTAGTCTCACATCTATGCAGACTTGCTGGTATTGGAATGAATGGCAGTCTCACACTGAGCTCCTGCCAGGCCATGCCCCCAATGCATTTCACTCCACCCCTTGGAGCTTAATAATGGGAATGGGACTCCGAGCAGAGTGGCGATTAAATGCATCATCGGCTGTCAATCAGTAGAAAATAAATGTCAGGTGTGCATAGGACTGGCCACAGGAATCCACATGTGTGAAAGGCTGCACACATGGATCACATAAAAAAAAAAAATAGCCATTTCCCTGAAAAAAAAAAAACATAAAAAAGCACTCAAAGTATAGCCAAAGATACAAAATATGAAAAAATGCAAATATGCATTAATCCCCCCATAAAGGCAAGAATTTGTTGTATTCCTGATTAAAAACAAATAAAGTGAAAAAAATATAAATAATTTATAAATGAATAAAAAGGAATCCCCAACAAAACACTCCATACCTACATATTATAATAGTAATCTAGAACTTAGGGCAGCACAGTGGCTTCTGACAGCAATAGGGACGTTAGATTTGAGTCCCAACCACAGCTCCACCTGCCTGGAGTTTGCATGTTTTCCCTGTGCCTGCGTGGGTTTCCTCCCACACTGCAAAGACATGCTGGTAGGTTAATCAGATCCTCACTAAATTGGCCCAAATATGTGTATGTATGAATGTAAGTTAGGGACCTTAGATTATACACCCCCTGATGGTTAGGAACTGTTGTGCATGTACAATATAATTGTAAAGTGCTGTGTAAATTGACAGTGCTGTATAAGTAGCTGAAATAAATAAAACTCAATAGATGTGTTCTGATAACACAACTCTGGGTAATAGGTCAAGGAACAGGGATAAGTAGTGGTAGTGTTAACCCTAAGGAAAGTAGATAAAACTATTCATAGTAGTGGGTGAGATCCCACTCAAAGTTCCATCCAGTACACCTCCCTCTTACAAAAGGAAGGAAAACCAATCACCACCATGAGCAGGATAGTCTACTACTCTCTCTGCAATCTCTAAAACAATCTCTGCAAACCTCTCCACCCTAAAGGATTGTACATTTGTACATGGTGATGGAATAGATTGAAATGCTCAGCCAGGTTAGTATTTTTGTTCGTTCTTATGTCAGAGAAGTGATCCCTCATTCTATCACACTAATGGTTAGTTATTAGTTATAGGGAGATCATAGGCAATGATTTCTCTCTTTAACCTCCTTAGCGGTATTCCCGAGTGTAGCTCGGGGTAAAATTTCTATACCAAGAGCGGTAACCCCAAGCTACACTCGGGCTTACCATGCGGCGCTGCTTTGGGGGTCCCTGCAGCACTTACCTTGTCCTTCGCTCCCGCGATGTGTCCCCTGCAGCGTCCCCGGCCATCTCCTCTGGCCGATGCCGGCATCCGGCTTCTGTGTTCCAGTCCCTGTGAAGTCGGGACGTACGGGCACTGGAACGGCGGGAAATTTGAAATTTTTTAAAAATTTCATTTTTGCTGTCATTGCTGTTTCAATGCATTTCACATACATTTTGTCCCTACTGCTTTGTCTTGTGGCGGGAAGGAACGGCAGTGATTGCTGGATTATTAATATTTTTTTGATTATATCTATACGATATTGTGTAATCCCTCCCCCTATGTGGAAGGGAAAATACCTAAGGAGGTAATGGCCTATCAGATCAATGAGGAGATGGATGCGGAAATTAGATCTGCATTTACTAAGAACTTAGAACCCCAAGGAGAGGGAAACGAGGGAGACATCAAGACCAAGTTTAAGCTACACAAGAAACTAACTACTAAATATTTGAATAGAAAGTGGGATATTACATCCCTTGAATCATATATAGAAAGAGGGATTGTTCCCAGGGGATTAAGAGAAAGGGTAATTCCAGCAGAACATCTTCACACCCCCAGATTTCTGGAAAGGTGGAAAGAGGTCTGTATAAAACATGGCATAGAGATTATGCGATTAATTGTGGAAGAAGAGAAGGTTCAACTAAATGAGCTCTCTAACAAAATTAATGAGAGCGCAAAATCACTTGATCCCCTGAAGAATGATCCTGAGTTTGATAAACACAATGATTTCCTTAGAAAAGAGATAGAAAAAATACAAAAAAACCTGAAATTTACGAAACAACAAAAATTTAGAAGAGACTTAGAGGACTGGGAGAAAGGTGAGATATTTGACCTAACTAATAGTAGAGGAAGGAGTCGATCAAAACGTAAAAAACATTTTTCTAGAAATAATAGAGGATACTCATCAATGAGTGAGGATGATGATGAAAGTAATAAGAGATCTGTCAGTTTTTTAGAGGAAAAAATGGACTTGTTTGAGGTCTACAAAGACTTGAACTTGTTTCTGAGAAAGATCCTTTTAAGAATTCCATATGTATCTAGAGAAGAACAAAATCCCTGTGATCTGAATTCAGAGAGGGAACAACAGGCATTAAGAGATCTCATTAGTCTCCTTGACGAGACTCCCACAGACAGTGAATTTGGGGAGGGGGATGTTTCTAACAAGTGGAAAAGACATACTAGACTAAAAACTCCTTCCAAAAGAATGCCTAATATTAGGGAAATAAATGGCTAAGTACTTTCTTAGATCTCGTGCATGATGACCTTGGAAAAATAGACTGGACAATGAGGAATGCTGATAACCTCACTAGGGGTGAAAGAATAGCCCTTATGGAACTTAGAAATGCTAAAAACATTGTGATTAAAAAGAGTGACAAAGGGGGGAATGTAGTACTACTAGAGAGTGTGGAATATGAGAAGGAGGTGCTTAGACAGCTGAGGAGTCTGGATACATATCGCAAACTACATAATAACCCGTTCCCAAAACTTGTGGTTGATTTAAATAAAAAAGTGGGATTGGCACGTGAAGCAAATCTATTAACCAAACGGGAATGCGATATGCTGACAGTTGAAACATATAATATCCCCACCTTCTATGTGTAATCCCAAAAATACATAAAAATCCCTCTCAACCACCGGGACGCCCTATAGTATCTGCTATTGGTAGCCCCTGGAACCAATAGGTAAATTTGCAGACGACTTGATCAAGGATTTGGTCTTGGAACTCAGATCTTATGTAAGAGATACGGGGGATGTACTTAAAAAGATTATAAATGTAAAAGTACCAGAAGGTGCACTCCTGGTGGGCATCGATGTGGAATCACTGTATACCTCCATCCCACACGTTTGGGGACAGAAAGCGGTGGCCCATTTTCTGGAGATATACTTTCCTGAAATGGGGGCTCAAAATGAATTTATATTGGATTTGCTTGAGTTTATGCTGACCCATAACTGTTTTCAGTTTCTGGGCTCCTTCTATCAGCAAATATGTGGTACCTCCATGGGAGCACCCTGGGCCCCGGCATTCGCATGTTTACATCTAGGTCTGTGGGAGGAGGAATTAGTATATCCCTCCACTCCCTATAAACAATATGCAATAACCTGGTTGCGATACATTGATGATGTCCTAATGGTATGGGATGGAGGTATGGATGAGCTTAAAAGCTTTATGGAATTTTTGAACAAGAATGATAGGAATATCAAACTCACTTATACAGTAGATAGAGAGGTGATAACCTTTTTGGATTTGTCAATCTCCGTCCACAAAAATGAACTGGTCACTAAAACATTTAGAAAGGAAACAGCGGCCAATACACTTTTACATGCTAATAGCTATCATCCAAAGAGTCTGAAACAGGGAATCCCTATTGGTCAGTTCCAGAGAATAAAAAGAAACTGTACAGAAGAATTAGAATATAGACATGAATCTATCCAGCTCTACAAAAGGTTCAGAGAGAGGGGCTATTCACATAGAACCCTAAGAAGAGCAAAAAGAAAAGCCCTCGGTAAAACAAGAGAGGAACTAATTAATAAATCAAAACCAAAGGCAGCTGTGAATACTGAAAACCAACCGGTAAGATTCATAACTAAATTTGGACAACATGGGATGAAGTTAAGAAGGCCCTGGACTCCCATTGGCATTTATTAATTCAAAATCCGCAGATAGCGAGAGTGGTGGGAGAGAGTCCACACATGGTGGCAAAACGAACTCGGAATCTAAATGATATATTAGTACAATCAGAATTTCAGAGGGCACCACAGAGAAACTGGCTAACTAGGAAGACTGGCGTATATGGTATGTTTCCATGTGGTCATTGTCAGATTTGTCCATTTGTACATAAGTCTAATCAGTTTTTCAACAATGATAACTCTAGGACATTTCAAATACGAAGCTTCATTAATTGTTCTAGTAGTAAAATGATATACATGATAGAATGTCCATGTAAAAAGATATATATAGGTAAAACCAAAAGAAGCCTTAGGACTAGGATCGGCGAACATCTGAGAGACATTAGAAATGAAAATAGGAATGTAAGAAAGGGAGAAAAAGTGAACCCACTGGCGCAACACTTTAAAGAAGTACACGGGGGTAAAAGAGATGGTCTAAAAGTAAAGGGATCTTTCTGCTGAATATTTCGGCTCGTCGGGGTGACTTTGATAAAGTCCTCCTACAAAAAGAAAAATTCTGGATTTATACCCTAGGGGCACTTGTCCCATCTGGATTAAACACGGAACTCAACTTTGGGGTGTTTTTGAAATGAATTCCCCTGAACTCTCTATATATCCTGAGTTATAATCTACATTGCGATATCCTATATATGAACTAAATATGGGCCTCTGTGGACAAAATATGAACCTAATTGTTCAACCTTTTCTACTCTTATTAGGTGGTGAGCATATAGAATAATAGGACTGATTTTGAAATTCTGGTAGCTGGACTTGGTTTTGATGTTTCCCTATGTGAACGTGAAATATGTTAATAATAATCTCCTGTTTATCATTCTTTTGGAAGATAATTTGATCTATAGTAATTAGGCTCCTCTTCTACATCCAGCAATCATTTTAAAATTCAAGACATGTGTTTTAATTCATTTTTGGACATTCCCAATGTAGTGATATTCTTTCAACACAAGATGGCGAGGTGGAGACTTTCTGGTATGCAATTAGTGCACCATATAAGGCAAAGGATTGAAGTCCCCTCCCAGTTCTGACGAAGTCTGCGGTGATTGGCGGACGAAACGCGTCAACGTATTGACGTCACTACGCTCGGCGTCTTCACAGGGTGCGGCGCCCCACGAGGCGGGAAGGAACGGCGGTGTCACAGCTCCCTGTTAGGTAGGCCCAAGACCCTCTGAGAACTACCAGTGGGCTACTATCACAGCGGTTCGCAAACGGCAATCCCTCAGGGAAACATATCTTCCACCGGTGGCAAGTTATTTAAAAGCTTACGGCTGTTGAGATTTACAGAGCCTACATGGCGTTAATAGGGCATGCTTTATGGGCCTAATTTACCCTGTATACCCGGGGAATTTTTTGGAATTCCTCTCAGGAGGAGAATCTACATATATATATATATACGCTATCCTACTCAGGTATTTTTTGCTGTGACATAGCCACATCCTTATAAAACCGCAAATAACCTTCTCAAATTGAGCAATTTTTGGAAACCCTTTATTGGGTATATTAAACTCAGGTATCTACGGCCTGCTATATGCTATATACACATTATATGTGCTTGAAATCCACGCATCGTGTATACTGGTCCCTCACCCCCATATGCATCTTTGAAAAAGCATCAAGGACCTGATCTTAGTTCAAGTCGACAAGAGTCTTCTTGATCCTCATTGATGGTAATATATCCACATTTTTATATATGTTTTGTTTTCGGGGTACCTGATGCCCAAGATCTACACATTTAATTTTTTCTATGTATATCCTCAGAATCATTTGGTACTGTGGACCTTGTTCCATTTGGGGTGGCTATCCAGGAAGTCCCTACACTTGAGAGGCGGGTATGATAGTTTCACCTTTGAGAAGGTAACAGCAGTATCCATTGACTATTGTGGAGGGAGGTCTGGTTAATTTTGGATGTGATTTGGTCTCCATATTGCTAGATACATACCATGTATTTTTGTGTTCCAGCTTGTACATTCCAGGAGGTCCCTGATATACACTGGGAACACACCCACTGAATACATGGCTCACACAAATATTAAGCAGGAAACCTACGGAAATCCAGGATAATTATTTCATCATTACACCACTCTGCCTTATATGGTGCTCTGTTGGCTAAGATGACCCTAAATTGAAGATGCTAAGTGCTTTTTAACATGATTTTATTTTTTTCATATGTACACCGTGCTCATGTTTAACCTCCCTATGATCTATGTGATCAAATAAAGTATTGTTAAATTCATTTGAATTCACACTACTCCGCGTGGATTACTTAGAAACCTTCTTTTTTTAGATAGGTGTGTTCTTGTCACACTATCATATTGTTTAGTATGCTGTTCCCTCGGTTTATGTATCCACACTTATATAAGTGAGTCGGAGATGTGTCTTTGACATTAACAATTAGTGTCATTTTTGGTGGCTTGCTCCTGCTTTTGTTGTTGTGATATACTTCCTTAAAGGTTCTTATA